TCAGGTTAGGTTATGACTGGTTTGGTTAGGTTAGGTCAGGTCAGGTCAGGTTAGGTTATGACTGGTTTGGTTAGGTTAGGTCAGGTTAGGTCAGGTCAGGTTAGGTTAGATTATGACTGGTTTGGTTAGGTTAGGTTATGACTGGTTTGGTTAGGTTAGGTTATAAATGACGTGATTGTATTGTGATATATTGTAATTGCTGTAGCTGTTTGGATGACCACGATTGTAAACACGGACCTTCACTCACCAAAACAAACATCAATTATTCCATTTTGTTTATATTACTGCCGTAGTTAAACCGTAGTTGATAATGGTTGGATATGTATAGAACTAAATAAAAAATAAATGGTTAACTACGACAGCCTTCATTGTCACCCAAGTGTTCCCTCACACACACACACACACACACACACACACACACACACACACACACACATACACATAATAACAATGGTCTTGGGAAGTAACTTATGAGTAATTTTTATTTATTTTTGGCTTTATATGAGTGCGTTAAGAGTATTATAAGTGCGTGGGTTAGTTGTGGCTTACGTGTGTTCAAAGAGTGTAAAGTGTGTTATAAGTGCGTTCATACAGAAGGAAAATCTAAGTACAAATCAGTGAAAATCTCCTAAGAGCGTCCACTGACCTTGGAGTTCGTGATATAGCTCGGGAATAGTGTGGCGTGAATGGTGTGGTCTGGATGGTGTGGCCTGGATGGTGTGGCCTGGATGGTGTGGCGTGAATGGTGTGGCCTGGATGGTGTGGCCTGGATGGTGTGGCCTGGATGGTGTGGCGTGGATGGTCTGGATGGTGGATGGTGTGGCCTGGATGGTGTGGTCTGGATGGTGTGGCGTGGATGGTGTGGCCTGGATGGTGTGGCGTGGATGGTGTGGCCTGGATGGTGTGGCCTGGATGGTGTGGCGTGGCAGCTGCTGGTAAACTCCTTCACTGTCCTTGGGGTTCTATTTAATTACGACAATGGTATCTTAGGGGGTAGTCTCTAGTCCAACGGTCCTCTACTGTTTCTTTTTCCTTGGCTCATGGGAGGGGGAGGGAGGAGAGGGAGGAAGAGGGGAGGAGAGGAAGGGAAGAGGGTAGAGGGAGAGGGTGGGGGGAAGAAGAGAGGGAGAAGAGTTATGTTCGTCTACTATCTTGCCTTCCGCCTCTCTATCAATGCGTCGTACATCAGCAAGGTCAGGAGAGGTCGTATGGGGCGGTTGTATTCCATCGCCTAAACTATTGTTTTTTTCCGGGACTTATAGGGAAGAAATGTTGTTCCTTATCACGAGAAAACTATGAATCCAACCTAGTAGTTGTAATTGACCTTTTTTGCCCTTTTTTTTTCTTTTTTGCTGTTTTTTCTGTTATTTCTCTTTTTATGTTTTTGCCTCTGTTTTTTTTTATTTATTTTTTTACTTTTTTTTCCTTCCCGAGACGTCTTAGGTAAAGGCGGCCATGTTGGGGTGGTCGTTGTGTTGGTCAGGTCGCCAGTGAATCATGATCTTGTCTCTTGTAACTAAAACTGCTAAAACGTAATGATTACATAACGTCAACGGGAACTAAGGTAGATGAGTGGATAGACTTATTAATAAATTGTCTCCTCAGTTTATATGATCCAGTATCAAAAGGTTTGCATTATTTCATTAACTTTTTCCGCCACTCAGCGTTTTGGTCATAATGAAACATCCTACACTGAACTGAAATACATAAAGGAACTACTCTTTAACAATGGTTTCCCTAAGAGATTTACAGATACTGCTCTCATATAGACCAAACCCTTAACAGGATTATTTGGTCCCTCACAGCCTCACCGTTCCTAATATTCTATCTATTTCACCATCCCGTACACTGGCCCACTCAGTTTCACCCTTAGAAACAAACTTAAGAAGCTTCTCAATAAATTCTATCCACAAATTTCTCTTACACTAGTCTTCAAAACCCAGAGTTGTATCAATATAAAGTAAAGCCATCCATTTGTGTTATGGTTTCCTGTGAATTGTGGTGTTTTTCTCACTAAGGCTCGTCTAAATTAAGGTATTACCTCCTGTATATTTTAGTTTTTTTCGGATTTTAGTTTTGTACGTAGGTTTGTCGTCAGTTTTATTGGTTTTAAATTATAATGATCTTTTTTTAAATTTGGCGGAAGGTAAATTGTAGAATAATGTTCCGTTTTTATTGTATATTACCTGTAATTTTTTTTAAGTTCTTGTTTGTTTTCTTCATTAGGCTCTGATGATGGTAAATGATTTTAAACGTTAGTAATTAGAGAAACCCAACTGTAGTCAAGATGTTTGTGTTTTCTCTGGTTCTCATCTTCGTTACGAAAATACGCTTTCCACGTAACAAGTCCATTGCTAATAGATAGATAGATGGATGGATATTCAGTAAAATAACCATACGTATTTACAAATTATCTAACATGTAAATAGTCAATTAACACAGGTATACAGTGAACCGGCTATAACGAAAGATAACGTGACGGAATTTGTATGGTTAGCCTCGGCGGAAAGTGAGCCATATATTTAATCTGCAGTAGTATGCCATAAAATTATTGTTCAAAGAAAATAGATGAATTTATACCAAACATAGAAAACGGGCGCATCCTAGGATAAACTAATGTTGTCTTTTGTCTTGTGCCTTATAAATACAAATATTTCTACAGTATTTTCTTTTCTGCGGTTACATACAGAATAATATAACATTAATTATATAAATATTACATAAATTTTCCTATTGTTTTGGTTTATGGGAAAATTGAGTTAAGATGCTCACCCTCGTGTGGATATATCGTGTTGGAAGTCCACTCTTCACTCCGGCAAGACACACTCCTAAGATTAAACCAAAATAATAATGATAGACTAAAACTAATAAATAAAATATACAAGAATGCATCAATATTCATAGATTCTTGTCAGCTGGTCGTTGGTAGGAATAAAATCAGAGTTAATGATAGAGAACATAAATTAAAAATATTGAAACACCCACACGTCCATTCCACAACACACACGTTATTTTGCTCTCGTGTGATAGATTACTGATTAATATTTGATATATTTTTTCGTAATATATATGAAAAATATGTTAGTTAATGAGATACTTGAGTAAATAGTCGTGAATTTATAAGAGTGTTGATAAAAAGTCGACCTTGTGAATCGTACTCTGACCTTCGCTGTGAGTTGAACCAAAACACCAATAACTGAAAGGTTTTGGTGGTGAGTAAGATTGTCAATTGATTGGTGAGGTCAGTGTGAGGTGGACGTATGATGGAAGGTGTGGGTTATTAGTCTCTTACCCGTGGCTAATGGGGAGTAGGGAAGGGAGTGGGTGGAGGGAAGGAAGTGGAAGAACCTTGTAGGGGAGAGGAGTGGAGTGGAGGGAAGGGGTGGAGTGGAGGGAAGGGATTGAGTGGAGGGAAGGAAGTGGAGGAACCTTGTGGGGGAGAGGAGTGGAGTGGAGGGAAGGGGTGGAGTGGAGGGAAGGGATTGAGTGGAGAGAAGGGATGGAGTGGAGGAAGGAAGTGGAGGGAACCTTGTGGGGAGAGGGTGGGTGGAGGGAAGGGGGTGGAGTGGAGGGGAAGGATTGAGGTGGAGGGAAGGATGGAGTGGAGGAAGAGTGGAGGGAACCTTGGGAGAGAGGAGTGGGTGGGGAGGGAAGGTGGAGTGGAGGGATTGAGTGGAGGAAGTAAAGGGGGTGAGTGAAGAAAAGTGATGGAGTAGAGTGGTGGAGTAAGAGGTGGAGTGGATGGAGTGATGAGGTCAGTGAATCTGAGTACGTTCAGAATCACCAATAATGAACAGGAGGTTGTGTACAGGGTTCGAGTGAAGGAAGTGGGTAGGAGGAGGGGTATTGTAGGGAGGGTGAGGGGTGTGAAAATGGGAACTACAGACACCGCCACCACCATCTCTCACCCCCCTCCAACATCCCAGGATTCCACCACAATCCTCTTCCCCACTTTATATTCCTCTCCTGAAATTCCTCCCCATCTCCCCTCCCTCGTACCCCTCCCCCTTCACCCCCATCACCCCATCCACCCCTCCCTATCACCCCCTATCACCCCCTCCTCATTACCCCCATCACCCCCATCACCCCCTCCCCATCCCCCTCCCTATACCCCCTCCCCATCACCCCTTCCCCCCATCACCCCTCCCCCCATCACCCCCTCCCCATCACCCCCTCCCCCCATCCCACCCCCTCCCTCATTACCCCATCACCCCCCTCCCCCCATCCCCCCCCTCCCCCTCATTACCCCCGTCACCCCCATCACCCCCCTCCCCCCTCCCCATCACCCCTCCCATCTCCCTCCCCATCACCCCCCCTCCCCCATCACCCCCTCCCCTCATTACCCCTCACTCACTCGTTGCCAAAACAGACATCCTAGTTACCATACAGTACACCGTAAATCATTTTATAGCCAGAAATGTATACTAAAGCCGATTTATTTGGCGGATTATTTAAAGTTTGGCTAGGTTAGGTTAGGTTAGGTTAGGTTAGAATTTAGGTGTTTAATCCTCAGGTAAAAGGGTTCCTAACATTCGTAAGATCAAAACAGCTCTATATCATATCACTAATGCCACAATGAAAGCGTCAAGGAGCATTTTATTGTACTGGAACATTTTTTAAAAATTCTCTGACATGAAAGAAATTTACAAGTGTTCGTTGACACAATAGAAGCTTTTAAAATACCGCTTTGTTAATGTCCACCCACACATACCCAGGGTAGCAAGTCACAGTCTGGATATCTAAAATAGTAGTAAATATTAACATACATAACTTAAGGAAGCCGAGAACAACAATATAGAACAATATTATGTAAGGTTATGTTAATTAAATATCACCAATATGACCTGACTTTAATAACAATAAGAAAGTGATAAGACTAATGGTGGTTGTATTATGTCACAGTGGCGAAGAATTAAGAAAATAATTCCCCAATTTGTGTCATTAAGGAGAACAAGAAAGAACAAACAAACAAACAAACAAACAGAGTGTTTTTACATTACCTGTACCGTGGGAATTCCACCTGTGTGGCCATGATGACGTCACTATCCACTGCCGCTTTTCACAATATTTTTTTCGTTTCTCTACAACTTATCATTCACTAATATATCGACTTTCTCAGTTTGATAATAGACTTTAGTCCTGACAGCTACTTTCTTATATAAAGTCGTTAGGGGGGCGTAAACCCCCCCCCATGAAGTATATATATATATAATTAGCTGTATTACTGTTGATTCAAATAACAATAACTAATATATTGGTCCAGATTTATTAATAAGTCACGGAGCTTAAATAAAAATAGTTATGGTAAGGAGGAAAATGTAAACAGAAAATTAGTCTTCAATATTAGTATAGCGGCTGAACACACTCAAGTATACACAGACTCCTGGCGTTAATATACCACGGGGAGGAATGTTAATGTAGTCAAGTGTGATGTCATTCTACCCTATGTATCCATCACTCGTTTAATATATAACATTGACACTGCCCTAGAGTATTCCCCCTCCCTCCCCCCCCCTAAAAAATATCGTTCTTTCACGTTAAAAAATAGTTAATAAAATAAATTACAACAGTTTAGTTATAAGTCTGAATAAATATGATAATGTAACACTGATTAAATAAACGTTTGATGTCTTCAGTGTGTGGGGGGCGGGGGGTAACTAAGGCAAAAATATTAAAACACTTTAGTCAATAATTAATTCACTTTCTTTTATTATATTTATTCTTCTTTATCGTAGTTATTATTATTTATCTCAGAATATATAATACGATTTATTTTTTATTTGTATACTTTATTTTCACTTTACACTTTACACACTTCATTGTAGTATTATTGCACACACTCGTTCTGGTTTCTATAAAGTCATTGTCGTTTTCCAGTGACTTATATCGTAATAATAAATATCTAATCCAGCTTCACTCTAACACTGTATCATAGAGAATTTTTTTTATATTTGTGGGAGATAATATACGTTATTTTGACCGTCCAGTGTGGAGAGCGGTAAGTGAGTGTTCCTGTTGTATCAGTTCCTCAATGGTCACTGTTACTCACGCTACTTACAGAGGTGGTGTTGTGAGCGTTGCTAGTGAACCAGACCATTCGAGTATTTCACGTTTTCTCTCTTCAAACACTAATTCTCTTTCCTCTTTTATCAATTACATTTATCAACACCGTGAAAAATATGAATACATGAATGTGAAAAATTATGGAAATATTTCTCTGGTATATTATGAAGTATTTATTTTTTGTGACGACTGAAAGACTGGGTAAGGTAGTCATTTCTTCACTGTTGTGTTCTCGTTACCAAGGATATATTTATCGTCGTCTTCAGTCAGCTTGTATGCGCTACAGGTATCACGTGATTTGCCGTGTACAGTTTTTACGACTTAATGGTTCTAGTAATAACAAAGACCTTTTATTAATCTTATTTTTTATGCTCCTAACTGAGATTCCATGAGAGGAGGGGGTGGGGATAATTTGCTTTCGTCTGTATATTTGTTTGTCTTTACACACGTTATTCGTTTGTAGAGAAAATGTATCTAGCGTAAAGTAATTCTATGCTATTTATCCTAGAGTTTATGGAGTCTTATATAATCCTCCGAGCTGTCGTGTTTACTTAAAAAAAAAATATCTATACAAAATTGTGTTGAAAAATATGACACAACAGATGAAGGATTTTGACAACCCTACCGAGACAACAGGAGTCACAGTGTTCATTCTGACATCCATCGATCACCCCAGGTACAGATAGTTTTTAAGTGACCGAGAACTGAAGAAAGTCTCCACATGTATGAACAGACAGACAGACAGACAGACAGACAGGTACTCCTATAGTTTCCTGCTTTGTAACGAAATATTGGTACTGTATATATATTTTTTTTTTTTATAACAAGTTGAACATCGTGGTAAGCCGTGTGTTTATCTACTGAGCCTATGTGGGGTGATGGGTCATGCCTGAGCTTCCTGGCTTGCGAGGCGGGGACAACCTTGCTTACAGTACATGACAACTTAATCTTCAATCCTACCACTATTTATTTATTTATTTTCATTCGGTAGATAACGGAATGTAAACAAATGGTTTGAGATTATTCGTACTCTTATCTCGCCCTCAAATTTGTATTAAAATCCTCACCACAAACACCATAACTATTAAACATGTAAAGTGATATTTGGCAACAGTGTCTGGTATATGTGGATGGGAGGACAGAATCTTACCACGTTGGCCTTGGGACTGGTGTTGGGGGAAGCTTGGTCGCCGCTGCCAGTTAATCCTGGACGTGGCTCTGGTTGCAGCGAGATGCGGGTGCTGTCGCTCACACACACGCTGTTGCTGCTGTCGTTAGTCGCCTCCACGACCACTCGGCGTCGTCACTTATTCTCTGGACCACAAGATAGACCGAGAGATGGACAGACACTATTTTCTGTGAGTAATATTCTGCCCGACGGGAATGAGACGAGACCGCCAAGCGCGGATACTCGTACAATTATAGTGGCTAAGTGTCGTATGCAAAATTGTTTTATATCCGACGGGAAAGGCGGCTGTATAAAGACCTGGTGCTACACTGATATTCGACGGTAGGACGTACTCCGCCTGAGGACATCACCTGTGGACATCACTACATGTAGACATCACCACCTGAGGTCATCACCACCTGAGGACATCACCACCTGAGGACATCACCACCTGAGGACCCCACCACCTGAGGACCCCACCACCACCTGAGGACCCCACCACCTCCTGAGGACCCCACCACCTGAGGACCCCACCACCACCTGAGGACCCCACCACCTCCTGAGGACCCCACCACCTGAGGACACCACCACATAATGTACATGTGCTAATACTTAATACTTGACATTTTGGTATATTTTGTTGTTTTTATTTACACCACATGTCTGGGATCTCGAAGTACTGTACTAGCCAAAAGGAGTTGAGTACTATCACCCATGAGAGTACTATCATCGGGCGAAATGTACTTTTTTCCCCTCCAGTCTATGTACATGGAGTACTACCATGTACTGTACACACTGGTACTGTACACACGTAGTTTTTCCTGCTTGTACTTTAATACAAGGTCACGTGAATGTTGACGCGATGTAGGTGAATGTTGAATGACCAGGTGTGAGAGTGACCAGGTAATCATTAAAAGGAAATATTTAGGATAATAATAAAGTAACCAGAAAATACTCCTAAAGGGATAAATGGATTATTATTAGTAATAGTAGTAGTAGTAGTAATAATGTCCTAAAACTGGTTATTAAGGAGCTAAGATAATCTGGACACTAACCAAAATGATCAAAGTCTAACGCTGCCATCATGAGATTTTGTTTAAGTTACCCCATAAGAGAGTGGCGTTTTCTTTTATAATACACCCAGTGAAAGTTGAAGGTAAACTATAGTATTGGTCACCTCACTAGCTAGGTATAGTTCTCTGTGTAAAGTTGTCCTAGCCCAGCCCAGCCCAGCCCCGCCCAGCCCAGCCCAGCCCAGCCCAGCCCCGCCCAGCCCAGCCCCCTGTTAGGTGCAGAGAGGGTGTGTGGGAATACCATTAGCTGAACGATGCTTCCTGTAATTTAGTTAATTCAGTTCCTGGCCATCACAACTAATGGTGGCCATGTTAGAGGGGAGAGGAGGCAGTCGATGGCCATGTTGGAGAGGGAGAGAAGGCGGTCGATGGTCATGTTGGAGGGAAGGAAGAGGAGGTCACTGGCCATGTTGGAGAGGGAGAGGAGGAGGTCGATGGCCATGTTGAAAAGGAGGTTTACAGGAGAGGGGGAGATCGGTGGCCATGTTGTAGGGAAAGAAGATGAGGTTGATGGCCATATTGGAGGGGAGAGGAGGAGACTGATAGCCATATTGGAAAGGGGGAGAAATAGGAGGAGGTTTCGACTTAAAACACACAATAAAACATAATAAAACAATAAAACACACAATAAAACACAATAAAAACACCACTAAAACAGGGAGTTCCATAGTCTTCCATGACCCGGGGTGTGAAATAGGTTTTGGATGGCACTGTATTGTCGCCCCCCTTTCACCATAGGTTTAAAAGGTGTTAATTAAGGTAGTTGTTACACCATCACACAGGTAGACACTTAACCAGGGTCAATTGAATCTTCACTACTACTTTACTACCTCCTTAATGGCTGTTATACCTAGGGAAGTCTTCTTAGGATTTGGGCCTGTTGGGATTCGTGGACTGTTGGGACTGTTAGGACTGTTGGGACTCCTGTGATTCTGGGACATTTAATCAGCAGCTTCCGTGAGTTGACGCTTTATGATGAATGAAAGATGAGAACAACTGGAGCCTTAGTCAAGAAATCGTCCCATGTGCAGTAAGTAGACCTCCTCGTCTATGTTATCGGATCACCAGGCCATTAGAGCTCATTTACATAGATTACCGGACCCGTGTCTTTTCATCAGCAGATTTCGGATCCAACAATGCCACCTCTCCCCCGACTCCCCTCTCCCCCCTTCCCCTCCCTCTCCCCCCTTCCCCTCATCGTCCTTTGTGTGTGTGTGTGAGATCATCTACATATTCATCAACTTTGGATTTGCATCGCAGAGCCTTGGAGGTCCGACGGTCATACATTTTTGTTTCTCTTTATCAGGGTAACTCCTAAGAGAGAGAGAGAGAGAGAGAGGGGGAGGGGTGTAAATTGGGTTCTACCTGTGTTGTTAGAATGGGATTAATTTAGTGGAGGACTGCGCAAACACATACACAAACACACACATTTATACACATACACAAACAGACATACACACATGAATTGAATAACAAATTCATAATAACACTACCAAACTATGTGTGTCGTGGAAGAGGGGGAGGGGTAGGTTAGGGTGGAGGGTCTATGTGTGTCGTGGAAGAGGAGGTGGGTTAGGGTGGAGGGTCTATGGTCGTGGAAGAGGAGGGAGGGTGGGATTAGGGTGGAGGGGGTCTATGGTCGTGGAAGAGGAGGGGGTGGGTTAGGTGGAGGGGTCTATAGTCGTGGAAGAGGTAGGTTAGAATTGGAGGGTCTATGGTCGTGGAAGAGGAGGGTAGGTTAGGGTGGAGAGAGTCTATGGTCGTGGAAGGGGAGGGTAGGTTAGGGGTGGAGGGTCTGTGGTCGTGGAAGAGGAGGGGTAGGTTAGGGTGGAGGTCTATGGTCGTGGAAGGGGAGGGTAGGTTAGGTGGAGGGAGTGAGTTAGGGTGGAGGGGTCTATGGTCGTGGTAGGAAGAGGAAGAAGAAGAGCGAGGGGCCGGGGGGGTGGGGGGA